TTTTTTCCATGTCACTTTAATTTCAAAACTTATTTAAATAAACATACACTTTATCATAAAGTACCCTGTATTTTGAAATATAACTAATAAAAACTAAAATATAAATATGAGAAATGTTGAAACTTTGTTTTAAAGTTTTCCATATTTAAACAAATTGATGTAAAAAGTAAGGTTGCATATCTCATCAGATAAATTACTATCATTAACTCAGATTCTTGATTATCTTCATTTAATATTTTTAAAAAATGTTTATAACAACTTCCTTTTATCCTCTTTTACAAATGTAATGTGTTCCCATTCCAAAAAAAGAACTTATCAAAATTGCTTTGTATTCATCTAACTAAGCACACTTACCAAAGGCCGTTATTATACCGAAAATCCTTATTACTGGCCGTAAGCAACTGCAGGGCTCAGCAGCTTGTCGACGCCTTCGATGTAATTGATTCATATTGAAGCAAATAGCAAAACTTAAATTGTGACAGTTTGTACCTTTTTTATAGCACTTCTTCCTCCACGCACTTCACTTAAATTGTTTGTAATTTTTGTTTTATTTTTATTATTTTTTCATCTTTGCAGAATATAACAAAAAATAACAAACACACACACCCACACACGCAACTTATTTGACCTTAGGTCATTTACTGTCATTTGTATTCAGCAAACAACTTCAAGCATATGCACGTTTCTATGCATTATCCATATTGTCAGCATCCTTACATATACATATACAAATATAGTATATATGCGTTCATGAAAAGTGTGCATTAAAATTATAATAAAAACATCTTTTATTTCTTTACGGTTTATTTGTTTGTTGACTTTTAACTTGACCCAAACGTAAACGTAAACGTTAGCATCAACACTATTTACTAAGGATTATATGCACGTTAAACTTTCAAAATATTAAAGATGTTGCCTTCCTTCTTAGCTTAATATAACTGAAGTAAATGCTACCATTCATAACAAAAATACTAACAACAACGCTAATGGCGACAAATTTTTACCATTGTTCTTTATAGACAAAACTGGGAGTCGCATCAAATTTGTCCGTGAGTATACCATATCATGTAAACAAACACCGCGTCACAACTAAGCACAACAACAATTACACTCTAATACACATGCAATGCATATAAATCAGGCGAATTCTTGGCAAAGAACATACAATAAAATGCCAACTCAATGAAACAAGAAATCCGAACGTAAATGCAAACGCAAAAAAAAACAAAAAAAGAAAAAAATTCACGTTTTATGTTTTTTATCCTGTTCGAAAAAAAAAAATATTCCTGCGTAGCTTTCTTGCAATACCAAAAAAAAAACTAGCTCTAATAATGCTGTGACTGTTACATTGCTGCTACTTCACTGCCTTCTCTAGATGTTGCCATACAAAGTAAATAAAAAGAATTATTGCGTTTATCCTTTCTTATGGTTGCAGTGTGATGTCAGCTTTTTTACCCTTTTTTGTTTTGTTTGTTGAACTGCAGTGCTTGTCGTTTTATTATTATATTCAATTCTTAGGAAAACTCTATGGCGACAGAATTCGTATGCGTATCAGACTTAACGTTTTAATTTCCGTATTGTAAACTTTGAACAGTAGTTACTTTTATGAATAATTTATGCATTTAATTTTTTTTTTTTTATACTTTAATCAATTAGCAAAAACGAATATTCTTATTAATTTTATTTTTTTAAATCAATAAATTTATTGAATAAAAAAACGTTATTATCAAATTAGATTTCACAAAAATTTGCCTGATTTTTATTTACTTATAACGATATTACGTCCTTTTACCGGTAAAACACGTATTTTCAATTTCTCTTGTAACACATCCGCATTCGACCAACAACAGAAGTCAAATGATTCTACAAGCTTGTAAAGTCAACTAAACAAATTGTAAGTTGTTGTTATTGTTGTTTTTGCAAGTTTGAAACTGTTAGTGCGATGCTTGCGTTTGAGTTTGGGGTTGTGTTTGTTTTTGTTTTTGTCACTGTTGTTCTGCTTCGTTGTGTGTTTGGCATGAGTTCGTGGCAGAATTATAACTGGCTTAAAATTTGATTATGGTCACCAATTTCAGCCCCTTTTAGCACGTAGCCAATATTTTTGGCTGTGGTTTGGTTCAACCAATTTTCATTTTAAAATTTTTTAAATGATTCATTTTCAGCGTACAGTACGCTAAAGATGACTAAGGGCTATAATCATAATTTTGATGACAAATATATTTTTCAAAAATTGTTTTAAAAGTTGTTTATTATTTAAGCAATTAATTAACCACTTATCTATGGTAGTTAAAAGATGTTTAATTAAAATTTAACTGTTATAAAAATAAATTGTGAAATATATATAAATAAATATAATATATGTGAATATAATATATAAATAAATAAATTATAAATTATTTTATAAATTATTAACTTTGATATACAGATATTACATTTTTTTGTAATAATTGTTTTTTAATAATAATTGTAATAATTGTTTTAAGTAATACATATTTTATATTATAACATAAAATGTAATAATATAATTAATGCAGCACCTTCGTTCCGTAAATTTTAATTAATTTAATATATTCGTCTATTAAGGTAAAAATAATATTTTACTAAAAATAATCTGTCGTTTTAAATATACAATGATAAATAATAAAAAATAAAATGTAAAAAATAAATAAAGTAAATATAATATGAATATAAAGATCTGCTTACTTAATTATAATTATTTGTATGGAAATGTCATTATTAATAATATATAGCTGTATAGCTTTCTATATCTAATAGTATCTATTCAATTTTTAACATATTGGTCGGCGCGCATCGGATTACACTCCATCTATCTATTTAGGTCCCTGTTTTTTTCTAAATCTTTCTTTCAAAGGACTCTAATTTTTAATTATTTTTTTTGTGTTTTTTTTGTTGCAGTTATCTTAATGGCATGAATGACCTGCCTGCCCCATTAGTAAAGTTTACTATATCTTCAAGCATATCAAGTCTGATACTTGAATGAATAATAAATAAAAAAATTAATAAAAAAAATAAATTAAAAAATAAATAAAAATAATGCGTTTTAAAAAAAATTAACAAAAAAAAATCGATAAAAAAATTTATTAAAAAAATGTTTATTGAGCTTATATCAAGAAATAAAAAGTTCGTGTAGATTCATATTTGTTAATGTATAATGGATACACCCCTATCCTCTGGAGACCAACGAATAATTAAAAAAAAGCATTAAAAAAGTGATTAATTCTTAAAAACGACAAAGATCTTGACAGCCGCGAAAGGCATTGCTAGACTTTTTGATACGGTAAAGGCATTCTTCGGCTTAATTACAATAATTTAATTACAATAATTGGAGCACTCTATGCAAATTACCAGACAAGACAACATATTTGTTTCATCATGGCAATGCATCATCTCTCGATTTAGTGGTCAGCATACCGCAACTACTATTCCAAATAATGACCAACCTCAACCCCAGACTTGAATGAATTTTTCTGTTTTCAAAGCTCAAACTTTTGGTCGAAATAAAACATATCCCCATACGTATGATTTTTTGAAAATTCAAAAAATTCAAAATTTCGTTGGAAAGATGCAAATAACGTAACCTTTAAATACATTTCTTTCTATTTGACAAAATTATTTCTAATTCAATATTTACAAGAAATTTTTTGCATATTTCAATCTAAATTTATTTAATTTATTTAAGCAAAATAAATTTTAAATTTTAAAAATCCTCCATACCAACACTAAAGATAATCCAATTTATCTGATAAATTCTCACCACCAATGAAACTGGCTGTTTTCTTTTAAAAGTCACACCACATAAAATTGCTATAAGGAGAAAATAATTTTTTTGTCAGACTTTATTTCAACGTTTAGTTCTCTCGTTTAACCTACCTTTGATCTAAAGCACCATTTCTGCAAATGATTATTTTTTATGAGTTAATTTTTTTCTTTTTTTTCCGTAGATGTTTTTGTTCTTATAAATTTGCATATTTATTTACTTTAATATCTAATATTATGCGAGTTAACCTGTAGGAGACGGGAAAAAGCGCTTAGCTTAGTAAGTTTGACGGTGCGTATGAGCAACATATTTTTTATTAATTTCAACATTTTTTCTATGTGCATTTTATTTATTTCGTCGTTCCTTATCAAAACAAGATATTTTTTTTGTTTTTAGTTTAATTTAAAATTTTGTTATTTACAAAATTCTTTTCTTCGCTTCATAATTTTCGTAATTCCTGCCACCATGGCCACTTCCGGCATTGAAAGTTTGGCATCCTCTTGAAAATCACAACGTCTAGCCAAATGCAGCCAAGTTCGTTCAGGATTCAATGATAATGGAGTTTGTAACCATGTCACATAATCGATTTTTAGAGATCCTGTTAAAAGCTTTTAAAAAATTATTCAATTAAAATGTAATATTTACAAAATTTAAAACAAATTTAATGTACTGAGAAACAAAATTTTAAACAATTTTTGTAAATTAATTAAAATGCATTTGAAAACTATTAGAAATAATATTGGATATAATAGAGATACGCTTTAGTGTTACTTATAATAAAAATCATAAAACAATAAAGATAATCTATGTAAAATTATAGAAAGGGAGCAATTTCTTGTAATAAAGTTTACTATTAGTTGAATAATGTAAATAATTCGCATTAAATGTTATAGTTTAAGCAAGACTTTTGCATCCTGCAAATAAAGGAAAGTCATAAGATACTTGAAATTTATGTTATTTGCATTATTTGCTAATTTAATTAATATGTAACAAGTAAAGGCTTCCTGTGTTTGTTGTTGAAAATATATACAACTAAAGTAGGGTTGTTGTTAATTTTTCAAAATTAATTTCTTTATGATAAACCACAATATTTATTAAATTATTTTTTAAAAATTAAAGCATTTTATCACCGACCCAAAAAACAGCTTCATGCATCTTCATGAATACCTGTTTAGATTATAAATTAAGTCTAGAAATGGAACAGAAGATGAGGTAACGAAACTAGGCGTATAGTTGGTAGAAAAATATTATAATATAATAATATTCTCCGATCTCACATTAACCCATTAATGGCCAACAACTGATATTTCAATTAAATTAAATTTTAAAGGTGGATCATGTTTAGATGTTGATACAGATACAGTTGATACAGTTTGCAATGTATGTAAAAACTTTTATATTTTTAAAAAATAATATGAGTCGACAAACAAATCATATCTCTAAAATCAAAAAAAAAATGTTCATTTTCTTGATTTTCGAATTTTTCAAAACGCAAGCACCGCCTTCAAATTTCCTATAATCGTAAAAATATAAAAGTATATTTGAGAGCATTAACATAAAAAAATCAAATTTTCAAAAAAAAAACACCAACTATATTTAGTTATATTTGGTTAAATTAAGTGATATATTTATATATAGTTTCTTTTAAATACCCATTTAAAAATTTTATATATTTTCAAATATTATGAGTTACTATTATTAAATACTAACCTGATCAAAAGGTGTGTTTCCTATAAAGAACATAGTTTTTAGTACAGATTGTTTAGTTTCTTTTATATTTTGTCCCTGTATGCCTTGAAATGGACTGGGATCATTTTCACTTGTGCCCAATTGTTCCATAAGCCATTCTTTATTATTTTTTAAATAATTATAACAAACCTGTAGAAGATTTATCAAAAGATTTGAAAACAATATCATTTCCAATAAATTTAATATGAACTACCAACCTTTAAAGCTTGTTTACCGATATCCGTTGTTAACACATCGCTAGCCAACAGTTCAGCTATATAGTCGGCTGTACCAACATCAAGTTCCATAGCATAATTTGCAGGTGGACTATGGCTAAGACGATCTGAATCTGCAGTACCTAAATCATCAATTTTTATCGTACTAACAGCACTTAAACCGCCTGCACTACGACCACAAGCACCAAATCCATAATCTGTATCCAGTGTAATACTTTCACTAGCTTGCTTTAAAAACAAATCAATCTGATCTGTATGCTTATCATCTTCATCTACAGAACAAATAGCTTCAGAAAGTGAGTAACAAATCGATGATTTTGCATCGTTTTTCTCTATTATCAATAGGAAATAAATTAATACTTTGACCAGTTTATAAATGAAAGATATTGCATACCCTTTTCATATGATTCTGCAGATTTAATAAGCTCTGTATACAAAGCAGCAAATACTGATTGTAACAACACAGAATCACCTAAAATTATTGTATATTTTCCTAATAGTCGAAAAAGTAAATGCAAGCAGTAATTATATCACACTTACCTAGTGGTTTTGTAGAAACTGGTATTATATCTTGTAATAATGATGTGATTTTGTAAAGACCCTCTGGTATACAGTCCCACATTTCGGAAACACAAGTAAGTGCTAAAGACATTGCCTGATACATGCTTGCACCTGCTTCAACGGCATTAATTAACATATCAACTACACAGTCCAATACCGGATATACAAAATGCATAATAGCTTCTAACCAAGGTGGACGCTTTTGATTCCAAACCTAAAATCAGTTAAATATTTAGTTTTCATAAAAATTGTATTATGTGCTTTATGATGTTTTAATACTTGACGTTTATCTAAGCAGTCACTCCAACCACTTGAAGCAATTTCTTCCAATACCTTAACTAGACAAGCTTTTATATCAAGAGCCTTACCCACTGCGATCAATATATATGTTAACGATAAAACAATTTGATAGTTCGATTGACCGACTGGATCTAAACGTTATAGTATTTATTATAGAATATATAATTTTGTTATATATAAATGAATAGATATACCCAAATCATCAGCAATCAGATCAGATACATTAAAACATTCACTACGGCATAAAAATGCCTTACATTTTTGCGGTTCACTTCCATGCTCAGTAAAAGAATGTTTAGCTACATTTTTAAAATTTTCTGATGCTGGCAGATATTTTAATAAATGCCGTAAAATAATTCCTGATAAATTTGCATCCCGCATTAATAAAACCTTTAATTTACAAACATTAGCTGCATTGTTTATAATTAATTTCTGATTAACTTCACCTTTACTAAAAATGACCAATCTGCTTCAGGAAAAGAAAGTAGCACTTTTAATTCCAGAGAAATTGCGGTATTGGTATTTAAGTCCGAAAAGTCTGATACCCATTGACATGATTGATCTTTCGGAAAAAATCGTGGTAAAGCAAAGATTATCCAAGCACTTGGTAAACCTTGCCGTGAAGAAAACATTTCCATATTTTCTAGACCCTTACGGAAAACCTATTAAAGCATATTTTTAAATTAAGTTTTATACCAAATAATAAACACTAATGTTTCTCGAACTCTAATACCTACAAGTATATACATGAAATAGTATATAGTGGAATATTTAAGACATTAAAAAGTAGACAGAAATAAAATTTTATACCAATAGTCAGCATACGACGTGCTATCAGAAACATTGTGAGCAATCAGTTCAATACGTGAAGTTATAATGAGGCCCTAAACTATGCTCTGCTTTTGTTAAAAATAAAAACTTAGAAAAATATAATATAACTAATATAATAGATTATATCCTGAAATATTGAAATCGTTTATCTTCGATATAATTATTAGAATAAATCTTTTAAACCGAACACATCTTTTGTGCACAATATTGATCTTTAGCTTGTATATTGAATCTTTCTTAAAAATATTAACTCAGTTCACTGTTTATTATTTATATGGAGACATAACAATACAACTTAAGTTGTAAAGCCTTTTTCTGATAAGAACTGGACATTCACAAAGTCATCAATGTCAGAAAGGCTCAACCAATTTAAGTGATATCATAGAATGCAGTGACTTATACTGTAAATTAATTCGTAAGACTAGCCTAATATTAGCTAATATTATCCTCGCTGAAATGTAAAATTATTATGCCTGTCTTCTGCAGAATTTCTATACTTTTACTTCTCTATTGACTTTTTGTATATTCATGTCATTGGACGCATTCTGATACTACAGTATTAATATTCCTTGATGTATTGAAATCATTTTGAACTTGTGCAATTATTTAAGTATTTTGAGTTAATTGTACCAAAATCTAATAATCTGATCTGTTTTAAAATCTAATAATATGTAATTGATCGCGGAAAACATTACGATACCATTTATTGCTGCCTAAAATATTGTTGGGTAGCCACACATTGAAATTGAGTTTTTGACTTTTGAGCCATTTTGTTTTACTCCAGCTGTAGAAATATTCGATGGAAGTTAGAAATAGATACATAAAAGATACATATATTAGATACATAGAAAGAATAATATAATAACTTTGTAATATTGCCATAGCGTTGTAAATCAGAACGCCACTCTCGATTTGGATTATATGATCCCGATCATATATTCCGGAGATATGTATTGATAGGGCACTGTCTGATCGCATCACATGCGTACAAACTAAACCTAATTTATAAAGATGTTTGTAGAAAAATGCAACGAGCCGGATGCAAAATAAACCCTAGAGCATCTGATGTGCAAATGCCCGGCTCTCTTGAGAACTCGACAAAAATAGCTTGGGGCTATCAGTTTTACCGGACTAGAGCACATACCTAAGGTTTCTGCTGAAATCCTAATAAAATTCAATAATAACACGCGCATACTAAACAATGCACACTCTCGCTAAAAAAAAAAATTAATACTCTGATCAGGTATCGCAATGGATCTTAATAGTCTACGCATAGCCTTTTTACTCCGTCAGCATAACCTAACCTAACTTTATTACGTATTACAAGGTTATTAAAATAATGAGAGTGTAGAACTAAAAGTTTTACATAGTTTTTTTTCTGGTACCTAAGAAAAAGAACACCTAGCTCCGTTATAATCAGAAACCTAACTCAAATAAACTCACAATTTAAATTTAAACTATAGAATAAAATAAACCGTCTATTTAATATAGAAATACCTGATACTGTAACAAAACTATTTTTTACTTTTTCTAGTTATTACTTTTAAAGTGGGTACCTAAATATTATTTTTCTAAATAAATATTATACTTCCGAATTTCAAGTTAATAGGGAAGTAATTGTGCTTAACCTTCTTTCCTTCAAGATATCAATAAATTTAATAAAAACTTTAACTTCAAAAGTGAACATAAACACAAAATATTGCATTTAATAAACTAAATTCGTATGCTTTTGAAAAAGTTTTAGTTGGTTTATGTTAAAAAAATGTTATTTTAATATTATAAAATGTTTCAATTCGTATCTTTATGTAAAAAATTATTCAAAAAGGGGAATTATGAGAAATAAATAACTTTCATTCTATATACAAACCTTTGAGAGCACTCCAAGTGGCGCACCGCGTAGAAGCAGGCAGTAAAAAAGTTCTCTACATTTCGCATGTATATCACGGATGATGACACTTTGGTTTGTTAACTGAAGTCCTTTCATACATAAAATTTAAATTAATGTTAATTAGATGCAATTTACTCATAATCTCTCCGTTGATGGCTTAAAGTCTGCTGGAAAATGTTTGGTGTAGTTTGGCATTACATGAATTGCTATAAAAACCATTCTATGCGTTGTGCTTAGAAAACGCAAAGACTGTTTATGAATTATGTATTTTTGTATAAATAATTTAAGGGCAAATATTGTGGGTTAGAAAGAGCAGCAGGAATGCAGCAATATTAAAACGTATTAAACGAAGCTGAAAAATTAAATTCCATATATGAATTGCAGCATATATTATAAAGAATTGTAATGAATTCTTTATATTTATTTATAAACTATACATTTCTAAATTTGATTATTTACCTATTTAAAATTATTGAAATATTTTCACTCTACGAGTTTAGATTTAAGTGAATTACAGTTTTTGTTTTTTTATTACTTTACTTGCAAATAGATTATTTAATGCTTTAACGGATATGAACCAACTTGGTCCCTGTGTGTGTTATTATATAGATTCACAATATACCTGTATGTTTAGTTTAATCCTAAATTTCAATTCAGATATAGAAGGTTTATATGTTTCGAAAATAAACAAGAAAAAGTTATAAAGAAATAACTTTATAAAAACCAAGATAGATTTGGATCAAACTTGGCATATATAGTTGTTATTATACAGGTTGTTATAATATACACATCTATTTATCTCAAATATTAAACCAGAAAACAGAATATAACAATCCTAAATGACTTCATAAAAACCAAGTTAGATTTGGATCAAACTTGGCATATATATTTGTTATAATACAGATCACAATATACACATGTCTTTATCTCAAATATCAAACCACAAACCAGAATATAACAATCCCAAATAACTTCCTAAGAACCAAGATAGATTTAAACTAAACTTAAAATATATATTTGTTATAATAAAGGTAACAATATACACATGTATATATCTCAAATATTGAACCAGAAACCCGAATATAATAGCAAAAATGGAAAATGGAAAAATGGATTATTTATAAAAATCAATAATTTAAGAAAACTTTATTTAATTTGATATATGTAAATTTAAACTTTCAGCTAATTCTATTCAATTCATATTTTTAGTAAAATTAATAATAAAGTAGAAAAATTACTTTTTAATTCCTTCAATTTCTTTAATTAATCCTCAATCACTTACACTCTTACTTTTGAGCGTCACTACTCAGAGGTATTTTAGGCATCCATTTCAATACTAATGCAATAATCTTTTCTTCGTTGATATCAAGTTTTTTCGTTCATAAAATTGAGAATATTTTCTTTTCGGAAAAATTTCTTTTATTTGTATATTTCAAATTTAAAAAATCAAGAAATGGAAACAATTGAGAATAATTAAATAGTAGAGTATGTGGTAATCTCACAATAGATCCGACAGTCGCAGTGCCACATCCCCTAACAATAATAATGTGGTAATCTTCATACATACGATCGAGGGTTGATTTCAGCTGTTACTATCATTATTTAAACATTTGATTTTTATAATTATCCTTTAAAAATCCCTTCAAAAAGTATTTAATAAGCAAATTATTAACAAATTTCATTTAATGAAAACAGAAATGGAAACAATTACAAATATTTCAATGTGTATGGTACTCTCCATTCATATGATCTAGAGTTAAAATCAGCTGTTACCGTCATTATTAAACATTAATTTTACCAAAAAAATAAACACGCAGAGTGGCGAATGAACAACGTAAAATATGTTTTAAATCTTAAGATTTGAGTAGTCATGGATCAAAAGTAGCTAAATCACATAATAAATATGAAATTTGTTTTTAATTCCAATATTTGAAAAGTCGTTAAAATAAACTGTTTAATCACACAAAACATGCGAAATTTATCTTAAACTTTTACATTTGAATAGTCTTAAATTAACAGTTGAAACACCTTATTAACGTGAAATTCATCTACAATCCAGATGTTTGAGATGTTGCGAATCAAGAGCAGCTACATTCCTAAACCAAAAGTAAAATTCGTTTTAAAACCCAAAGTTTGAAAAGTTGTCAAGTGAACCCAACTAAATCATGCGTTAAGAAGTTATGAAGAAAGAGTGTATGGAACTATTGAATAACATAATAGAATAATTGAAGAGGGTTGTTTACGACAAGAGGCATAATAAAGGAAATTTTAATTATTATAAAAACTATAATTAAACCACTCACTCCAATATACTAAATGCGTAAATGAATAATATTTGTTTGTACATTCATGCTTTAAAGTTCTGTACGTAGTGCTGTGGAACGATATCTTCCCAAATTAATATCTCTAGATAAACTTTCTGAACTACACCAATATTAAATCACTATAACTAAAACTATATCTAAAAATATTTTACAAACTGTTCTTATATATGTTGTCATTTAAAAATAGTAGTTTTACATCAAATCTTTTGGAACAAGAATAGTTATAAGGACTTAATGCCTACCTTTAAAATGCAAGAACAAAATGTCAACTCATTAGTTTGTCTATTATCTATTATTGTCTATTATCTTATTGTCTATTGTCTACTATTATTTTGTCTACAAAAATGTTTGTCATGAAAACAATTATCTGTTGAATAAGTTGAAATTATTAAAATGGTTTTTGGACCAAATACCACATAAATGTTTATAGGGTATAATAGTTATTCCTAGTTATAGAGCAGATCGCATACAATATGTTACTTCAACAATCTAAGAAGTTATAACTGTTCAGGCGGAATGAACTTTGCTAAACGTAAAACATACAACAAAAAAAAGGAAATAACATATAAGAATTTACTTTTACATATATATATAAAGTGTTTAAAGCTTTAATCGTAATAATATCGGGAGATCCAAGTAATAACTTGTATTAAAATTTGTTTTACTTTATACAGCAAATTTATTTTCCTGCGAGTCATTTCCTGAATTACATTTTCGTTCACTAAACAATAAATCAAAAAGTATTAAATTTGCCATAATTTAATATTTATTATAGTTAATTATTATAAAAGTCATAATTAATTAATATATTCGATAGTTAATTAAACAAAACTGATTGCTAAAAATGCTGCTTCTATGTTAGAAAACGATAATTGCATCTGACGCAATTATTGTTTTTAAGAACTAGAAATGATAATTTTGAACTACGAAGTGATATAAGAAAATGATTTTGGAAAGACTTAATTACATATTGTCTACTATACTATATTTTACTATATTTTGATTACTATATTTTGACTATGCGATAGTGTGACTTTGTCGTTCCTTACAGTAATTTTAAAAAATGCTAAAGTGGCAATGCAAACAATTGGTTACAAATACAAATGAAACTTAAAAATGATTTAAAGTAAAAATATTTTAGCTAGAAAAATAACATAAATTTTGAAAAATACTACATATTAAATAAAAATTAAATTATATACTGGTTAATCTCGTCGATTAAAACATTAATATATAAAATTATAACAAAATTATATCCCTGGTAAACATAAGGCACTTACCCACATAAGCCTCACCACTTTCACATATATGCGGTAATAATTCAGCAACACAAAACAATAAATTTGTTATGTCTACCAAATGCAATTGCGCTCTGGCATTACTGGTCACAATTTGCGAATACCTTATAGTGAGGATACTTAAAGTTTCATTCAGCATGCCCGCAAATATGCGTTGCGCCATTTTTGGTGGCACGGAATTCCATAAATCATCATTTGTGCCCCGCATATAATGCCACCACATTTGCACCGTATAAGAGCCACGTTCCGATTCGAAAAATGGTTCCGTGTCCTCCCAGTTTAAACAATCTGCATCTTGCACAATATAAAGCAACAAGAGGCGGCAGTGTAAATCCAATAAGCGTTCTGCGAGTGCTTCTGACATTTGCGAGTATTGCTTTAATGTCAGCTTCGTTTAGTAAATACATATTAAATAGTAAATATATTAGATAAATAAATTTTTTATCTTTAATATTTAGGTATAAACACCTTTAATGCACCACCTTTCTCATCTCCCTTTGGTGGACAATATTTAGTTGTAGATACTTGCAAATATATGTCCAAACAATTTCTAATTAATGCCGATGCACCAATCGTAGCTGTTAATACTGATAAATCAGCATGATCCAATGATTCTTGTGATAGGACATGTAAATGTTCCAACAGTAAATCAGCAGATTTTGTTACCAAGCTCACAAATTTTTCTGGATCTGAATTCTTAACGGTCACGGAGGTCTAAATAGGGAAAGGAAAATTTTTTATTTAAAAAATGTTAACATATTATACTGTTAGATTACATACAGGGTCATGGTTATCAAGTTCTTTTTCTGTATGCAAAAGACCGGAATATTTTCGATATGAGGCATAATATTCATCTTCCCACCTGAAATGTAGAATACGTAATTCAATATTCACTTAATCAAATAGATATTTATCTACCATAACACCATTTTAATAGCTGCGAAAGATGCAAACCTTGGAAAATCTAATTTACCACCAACAACTCCAGGACAAATAGGTTCTTGAAGAACGCTTTGATGCGTCTATCGAAATGTGAATTAATAGATTAAATAAACAAAATTGTATTGACTGATGGAATTTAGATATAAATAAAGCTAGTGTAATCTTAAGATACATTAGGTGTGATAAAACCATATCCTTTACTCAATGTTTAATAAATAAATAAAATATTTTTAACGATATAAACCAGGAATAATAATGTAAAGCAAAAGTTATGTAGAAAAAGGAACACTTGCATTTAACTAAACTTAAATATGATTAAGTTTACGAGTAAATAATACAAATAGTATATAATATTAGAAGGGTTTGAATAGAAATGAAAAGACAAAAATAAACCTTTTAGTTAATTTATTGATGTTTGGCTGAGATACAATGCTGTTTCGAGTATTGCCAAGTATTGCCAAATTTCAATAAATTAACTAAAATTTTTGTTGTTGTCTTTTCATTTCTGTTCGAATCCTTCTAAATTTTAAATAGTTTCTTTTCTTCATAAGATACGTCACTTTCGGTTCTTTCTAAATAATTATTTTGTTCATGAAAAAAATTATCAGTTTGTTTTTTTATTAGAGCTTATTTCTCTTCAAATCGACTTTTGCCTTTCCTACATGCGGTGAACAAAGACTTAGTTTTGATATTAAACCCGATTTTTTACAGTCCATTTGATATCTTGAATAATATTCCTTTTCCTCTCTGTTTTTGTATTTTTCTCTATTATGCATTCTTCATGTTAAACTGGGATACCTATTCATTGTCAGAATTTTATCTTGTAACTTAAGTCGACTGGATTCAGTTAAGCTTTTCTGTCTGTGTGGGACATCTTTCACACTTATAGAATAAAATTATTTTCAAAAATAACAGCAATTCTTAAACTTAATTATCAGACCTCCTCTATTTTCAACAAGAATTTTTTATAATCGTTTAATGTCACATGTAGAATTTGTAACGAATCAGCTGCCCATACAAGGTCATCTATATATACTTAGATACAAATGCTTGATCGTACATTGGCTATGGAGATAGCTATGGCTATGGCAATCTTATATCTATCTTATACTTAATTATCAGACCTCCTCTATTTTCAACAAGAATTCATACTCGTTTAATGTCACATGTAGAATTTGTAACGAATCAGCTGCTCATACAAGGTACAAATACAAATGCTTGACAGTACATTGACTATGGGGATTTAGTTCCCTGTTCTTGCTACCGCTGTGGTATTTGTATATACAGACGATATTGTTTTAATAGTTAATTCATTATATAGGCTACAGGTAGCAATGAACCAGACTTAAAAATATATATCAATTTCTAATAAGGATTCCTCACTTTCGGTCAATGCTATCCGTAGACTATATAACGATTCGCCTATTAATACAATGTTGTCTGTAATAATTATTGATAGTACATTGACTGAGGTTCTAACTCTCTGTTTCTTATTTTTTTGTATTTAATGGCATCCATAAATGTGGCAAGGAGCATGTAGCTTAAAAATTCTCTTTGTCTTATACCTTTCTTTATTTGTCATTTGTGACCTTATTTCCTTATGTATAACAACAGATTTTCATTCATTTTAAGTGTCTTTAACGTAATTGTAGGTTGTTTATATTTATGTTCCAGATCCGATATTTTTATTGTGTATCACTTCTTATTAAAAATGTGCAGACTTTATTTATTATAATATCTCGGTGGTCGAGGAATGGATTTTCCTATACTTAATTTTTTATACAGTACCTTGAATTTCTTGAAATATTATGTCATTTATATTATGTATTATGTCGTAAA